GGCTTTTTTCTTTTTGCTTATGTGGTGCTGAGGAATCGAACCCAGGGCCTCATGCATGCAAGGCAAGCACTCTACCACTGAGCCACCTTCCCAGCCCCAACAGTTATTGTATTTACTATCTATTAGATTCCTCAGAGTTAGCAGGGCAAAAGAAACCAAAGAAGACAACAACAAAACAAGTAACACAAATCACTTGCTCTGCAAGAGACATGCAAACTGCAAAGGAAATAAAGGCTCAGTACAGACCCCAGCAGAGAGAAGAGGAGACAGCAGGGTGAGGGGCAGAGGGTGAGTCTGCCCTGGTAGCTAACTAGAGCATGGTATAAAACACAGAACTATAAGCAAGGGCCTGGGTCTATGGGACTTGAAGATCATATAAAGGTAACCAAATTGTATTGCAATGGAGAGCCCTAAAACATTTTAGGCTGGGAAGTGAGGCCTGCACTTATGTCTTTTCTCATAACAGGTCACTCTGGCTGCTTGTGATGGATGGTTTATACAAGTGACAGACAGGTGACAATGGCCTCAAGGTGAGGGAGACAAATGGATGGATTCAGACATCATGGCAGAATTAACAGAACTTGATGCCTGGTATGAAGATGTCTGAAACTTAATGAAGCTATCATTCAAGTCCTAGGTGGGACTCAAGAGGTAGAACACTGACCAAGCACAGCTAAGGCCCTGAATTCACTCTTACCATAAATAAATAATGCTATCACCCATGAAGTACTGACTTGGTACCAAATATCCAATAAAGCAATGTAGCACTTTATGTGTCATCTCACTGGATCTTTAATAGCTTTTTGAAACAAAACAGGCATTTACCGATAAAGCAACTGAGGTTCTCATTTAAGGTCGCACAACTGGTAAACGGTTTGAGTTCAAGCTTGCTGGATTTGAATAGAAAAGTGTTTGCTCCATGACCAGGTATGTGTGAAGGACAGAAGTCTGATTTTCAAAAATAAAAATTCTTGTGATTCTCACTAAACTAAAAAAGGAGGAACTGGTTTTTTTTTCTGGGTGAGCCAGAGAAGACTCACCAGTTGTGGAGGTCCAGAGAGCACACACTTCGGAAGCCCAGTTTCCTTCAAAGTAAGAATCATTCCTACAAAGGAGGAATAAAGTGAGATCCTTCATCACCTTGACTTGTAATGGCTGCCAGCAGCGGCACCACTGACATCTCTGGGTCACTTGTCTACGTGTCTCTATTCCAGCTTCAGACCAGTCGTGAGGTCAGGCTTGCACAGCAGGAAAAGATGCCGGCAAGTACAAGGGTTGCTCATACGAGCTCATGCGATGGGCAATCACTGTTGATGTTGATGCAGTGATGTCTTTGACATGCAAAACTCAAGTAGGTGTCTACTCCCACAGTTGTGCAAGTAAAGGTTACAGACTCTTACACTTTGCACCCCAGGTACCTCATGCCCCACATCAGCTATGAATATAGGGATGACTCTAGTACCATGCTCCTTCCTACCTATATCACCACCCACGTAAAAACCAGCTGCAGCAAGCTTGACTTGCCCAATTCATGGAGAGGAATAACAGATGGCTATGTAGGGTTGCTAACAGGATTCATGAGAAACTGGCTGACTTTTCTTTTTTTTTTTTTCTTTTTCTTTTGGTGGTCATAGGCTTGAACCTTGGGCCTGGGTGCTGTCCCTCAGCTCTTCAGCTCAAGGTAAGTACTCTACCACTTGAGCCACAGTGCCACATCTGGTTTTCTGGTGGTTAACTGGAGATAAGAGTCTTATGGACTTGCCTGCCCAACCTGGCTTTGAACTGCAATCCTCAGATCTCAGCCTCCTGAGTAGCTAGGATTATGGCATGAGCCGCTGGCACCCGCTATAACTTTTCTTTTTAAATTCTTACTATTACGTAGCTGTACAAAGGGGTTATGATTCCCTATGTCGGGTTATGAATAAATGCTTTTTGGTCAATGTCATCCTTTCCTTCGTTCTCCCCCATTAACTTTAATCCACCACCACTGACCCATTCCAGCTAAACCTCGGGCCTGGTAACCCAAGAAATCAAGTTGATGGCCACATCTGGAACTGCTCTTCTGAGTTCAGTAATGATGGGCCTACCATAGCTTCCTAGACTGGCATACAAGAAAATTCCTGCTCCCTTGAACTCAGAAGAGGGTCCAAATAAGAGAAAGATGAATTGAGAGCCTCCCTTTGTTGACCCTGCCTCTGCAAAGATTATACTTACCACACAAGCCCCCAACATTAGCCCAGTGCATTCGTGTCAGGAATATGTTGTCCAAGCGAGCAACTTTCAGTCTAGAAAAGAGAACACCATTTACAGCAGGATGAATGGGACTACTTCTGCTATTAAAACACACCTGCCTCCTACCCCACCTTTCCAACCCCATAATCATCTCCACTCCAGAAGCAAAACTGACTCACTTGTGTTCCTGCATGAGTCTCTGGATGCCTTCTCCACAATTGAAGAGATACCTACAGAGGAAACAAGACCATACTCACAGGGGTGTGTCTCCTGACATTGCCTGGGGGCGGTGGCTCCAGCCTGTAATCCTAGCTACTGGGGAGGACATATTCTGAGAAAAGTGATTTGAAGCCTGCCTGGTAGCAAAGTCCGTAAGAAGCTATTCTTCAATTAACCACCTTAATAACTCTGGAAATGGAGCTGTGGCTCCAGTGATAGAGCACCAGCCTGGAGTGGAATAGCTAAAAGACAGCACCCAGGGCCCAAGTTCAAACCCCAGGACCAGCACACACACGCGCGCGCACACACACACACACACGCACGCACACACACACACACACACACACACACACACACAAAATCAATCAATCAATCTCTGAAACCTGTATTTTACTGTAGACTCACTCAATCAATCAATCTCTGAAACCTGTATTTTACTGTAGACTCACTCAACCAAACGACCCAAACCGAGGAGGTTGCACTAACTGCCCTGCAACTCTGCTATTCGGCTACGAAGCTCTCGATCCTCCTCGGAGGGAGATAGGGAGGGGCTGGTGGGAGTGGGGGCGAGATAGGGCCTCGTCCATTCCCCCCCACCCAGCTATGAGGGCCCGGCTTTGGGGTGCACGGAAGGAGGGTGCTGCTTGGCTTGCCAAGAACCCTGAGAAGAGGATGCTCACATCCGGGTCGAGATCTCTCCATGGGGACGGTGCGGACCACGCGCGATCGCGAGCCTCTGGAGTTACCTGCGCTGGCAATGACAACCACCCCAGGAGGAGTCGCGGTGCTGGGGGGCCCCGGGGGTGTGGGGGGGGGTGCTGAGGGACGGAGGGGAATGGAGGGACGGGACGGGCGGAGGGGAGCTGACTGACCGGTTGTACTCGGAGAAGACATAGAGCGCAGCGCCCACATCCCTGCCGCCCGCGGCCACCACCTGCAGGTACACCGTGTTGGGGCTCCCGGGCTCCCAGGACGCGCCCCGCTTCTCCCGGGTGCGCAGGTGTCGAAGCGGGTCCTTGGGGGGCCGCTGGCGGCGGGCGGGCCCCTGTGACATGGCGCGCCCGGCCCCCGACCGCAGCAGCCTGCACAGCGCCCACATGCGCCCCGTTCAGCCGGGCCTGGGTGACCACCGCACGCGGGCCGCCCGCACCG